CTCCACCCCCCCCATCAGCGCGCCCTCCACGCCCGCCGCCAGCACGCCCTCCGCCCCCCTCGCCAGCGCGCCCTCCACGCCCGCCGCCCCCCTCGCCAGCGCGCCTTCCACGTCCCCTGTCAACGCACCTTCCACGCTTTCCGCCAACACGCCTTCTACGCCCCCCGCCAGCCGCAGGAGCCATCGAGCCGCTGTTCCCTCGAAATGGAGGGAACAGGCTAATGCTATCGGGGGGGGGAAAGAAAACTCACTGGCAGAAGGATCCACGGCCCGGAAGAGAAGGCCTGCGAGCGGCGAAGGTGCTACTGGCACTAAAAGGTGAGCTTGTCCGGGAATATTGAGAAACCTTGCTGCATGACTAATTCGGCCGGATAGGAGAAAGAAAATGTGAGCGCCGTGTCTATCACGGGCTTTTTGGTGATGGGGCGTTAGTTAGTATCTTACTTGATCTTCTTGCTCGTATTTAACCATCTTGATCCACCTTGTATATATTTTGTCTATCTGTACCCATAAATATAACTATTTCTTGTGTAAATATTGAGCACGACACACAAGCTACTCGAACGATTCGACATACTAAAAACGTACCCGATAACGCTGTCACACACTTAGGGGGAACGCTAGAGACGAAGCGTTCCACGCAAAGGGGACTTAGTCAAAAAAAAGTCTGACCGGTCCGGCATCAAGACACCGGAGACGATGTGTCCCATGCAAAGGGACTTAGACAAAAAAAAAACACCGGCCCGGCATCAAGGATGCGTCTTCGGGTTCTACTTCGAGTGCTCACGCTCAAATAGGGTGCTCGATGGTCATACGGGGTGTGGGGTACATCAAGGAAGCACTCAAGGTCTGGGCCCACCTATCAAAGGCGGTGATGCCACATACAGGCGCATCACCCAAGGGATCCCGTCCATATCAGGCCGTACGACCCCGGGATACCGTTTTGCATGACAGGCGGTAGCGAGGCATCAGAGTAAGTCATGCACAACTTTGGGGCGCACCCACCCACCTGAGAAAGTGATGCATGAATGACTGCAATAATGGGGCCTGTCATTCATGCACTACGCATTCGACTGTTATAACAGTGAATTCATGCATGATTATGACAGTATGGCCTGCCCTGTCGATGGAATCGCAGTCCATGTGGGATTGTATCACCCACTCTGCTCGCTGCAAATATTAATATCTGGCGTTGACCGTGCTGGCGGCGCCCTGGTAGAATGCAGTCTTCTCATGTTCCTTTCCACCACTACCTCAAACAAAGCCGTCGATACCTGTTACCTAATGCCAGTCACGACGTCCATGGACGCCCCCATCGATGGCCACGACTACTTCAGGGTATTTACTATTCACCTGCCACGCCTTCGGGATAACCACCGCCCAGTTTTCGCTATATTTATCGGTCAGGGTCTCGCTGGGTCTTGCCACGTCTTCTAACCCTGTTATCGTCATTCTTTGGGCTTTCTCAATCTGGGTGTTGTCCTCTCTCAACTTGTGTGTTGTCTGCGACAAACCACCTATGAGGAAGGAGTGCTCTGTGACAAAGATTCTTGTCCCACAACGCACTTGTCTCGGTGCTCCATCTAGGCCTGTTCGTCGTAGCATTCCCGCCTCGACCTCCACGACCGTGGGGGACGTGATGAGGTGATCACGGACACGATCGAACCATATACGTGATCCATATCAAGTACTGGCAGTGATAGCGGTGTGGTATATCCCAACGCATCTCTGGCATAAATCGATTCAGATCCAACGCGACCTACGACAGTCTATCCACAACACACGTTAAGTCCATCTGCGACCTACGACCACCGTCACCCACGTCAAGCCGACCCGCACCGAGCGCCCTAGCGAAGCGAGCATCTTCTTGTATCAAATGCCAGACGAGTCGCACGTTCCGAAAGCAGTGTTTCAAAATTTTGACGCTAGGAGGGGGCTTTGTCTTTGAACGCTAGCGGGAGCCTTTAACTTGGGGCGCTAACGGGGGCCTCGAACCTCGAACTCAAGCTTTGAGTTTCGAGCACGTTGCGCATCTGTTGCTGTCCCTGGTCCTCAAGAATACGTCGCTGCCGGAATTGCCGGGACCTCTCCAACGGCGCTGTGTGGGGATCGAGCGCGGGATTGACACTGAGGCCCGAGAATTCGGAGTAAAGGACTCCCCAGACGAAGATCGTACCATGGAGCACCAACGCCCGACTCCTCCTCTCCCTCCCCTCTGGGTCTTAATCCCCCAGGCTCGCCTGTTCATTCGATTGGAGAGGTCTCCGTGCCCCCAGGAATCACTATTTAGCCGCCTCTCTCGGGCTTCGGGACAGTAACGTGCCGGCGTGGACCACATGTGTACGTTTGGCCCGGGTGTTCACAATTCTATGGATCTCTCTAAACTGACCCTCTGCAGTTTCTTGGCGGAATGATACCTCCGCGACCGATCCCAACTGTCTGTCCCCGGCTTCGTTTCGTATCCTGACTGGTCTCGCCGCCTTCCGCCCGGATATCGCAGGTTATCGAGTCCTGCAAACGACGCCAGTTGTATTCATCTGTAATGGCCACCACTCGCTTCGGTCTTCCCGCACTCATCGTAGTTGCCGCAGAATCTACCATCGGCTTTGGTGCACGGTATGCGGGGGAAGGTGGCCGAGGTGCTTGGGCGAGGGCTCTGGAGACGCTTCGGCCTTGTTCTAACGGTGATGCGCTCGCGGGCGGGCCTAGAGGCAAAACCCAAAACCTAAAGAACAAAACAAACAAGCAATCGGTCTGCTAGTGCGAGACTGTGTGACGC